GCGAGCCAAACAACGCTTAATAATTGGAAAGCTACCCGTGGAAAGCTGCTCTGAAAATTACTGTTTCACTAATATTGTTAGCTCGATACAAACTTTTTTTTCCTCGTTACAAGTGTGCCACCGAGATCGGCAGCGTAATTGTGGTGGTGTAATTTAGTGCAATTTTAAAATGTAATCTCTCAGGCGTAATTTTCGGGTCATATATTCCTTGGCGCGCTTTCGACATGTTAAAAGATTGATGAAACTTGCTCCCGTGCATGCTTTCATATCTCGGCAGCTTACGGCGGACTTTTGTCGGCGGTGAATTATTGAGTTCGATATGGCCCGGGCGTTATTCGAGATTCTAAAAATTCCGCGACGAGAGATCGCTCGGTGATGCGAAAAAAAGAAGAAAAGATGGAAATTCCGTTCCGCTGAATGTCGCAACGCGAGAAATCGTAAAATTATAATGCATCTCTGGCATCGTCGTGCTCGTCATCTCAGTTACGGAGAACAGTCATCGAGGCTGATATTCCGAGAGCAGCACGTGAGTGGCTTGCGGAATTCGACGTTATTACGAGCTTCGTCGCGATGCGCAGTTACCAGCATTATCACATCAACTTTAATTTATTTAGGGTAAAGAAACTCGTTGTAAGTATAACGGTAACTATCTTTATTTATCAGATAATATTCGCCAAGCAACGTGTTAGGATTACGTGAGGACAAGGCGAGGCGTTTATTACGAAAATCTCGTTTTCCCGCAGGAGAACACAGCGCGGACAGCTGCAGCTGCTGCCCTAAGTTTAGTCTTTGTGCCGCTGCAGGTTGGCAGGTGCCTGATACGAGATACATCTGCTAACCTGCACGTGTTCGCGCGTCCGCGTGTGCGTGCGTGCGTGCGTGCGTGCATCCGTGCGCAGGTATACGATCCCGCATGTTCGGATTGAGGCGCGCGAGGTCGACGAAACCTCGACGAGCCGGTGTGCCGACGAGCCAGCCGATCTTCTTGTATGCAGGTTTGGGAGGCAAATCTGTTCACCTGCCGCTATCGCTAGGTGTGCCGGGCCCGACCGTGCCGGGCGTGCAGCCAGGTGCCCCGAGAAAAATCAAGAGCCACGAAGTCCACCGGTCCCGAGATTAAGGTTTGCCCCTGAGCGAGCGTAATGATAGGGTGCCGCGCTGGGTGGATGAGAGAGTGTCCAACTTTATCGTACTTCTTTTTTTCTCTTTCTCTTCCTGTCCACCGCTATTTATATACGGGCGAATTTCGCCTCGCGACACGTTTGCTCATGCTCAGATAAAAATCACGATCAACCACTCATTTTTCAATTCCTTTTATTCGCAGAAGCCTCGCTTTCTTTCCTAAATACATTGTATATAAATATATGTATATATAAATGGTCACGATCCTCAGTAATGAGGGACCGAATTAGAATCTAAGTCTTAGATGATGATGATGATATATAAATATAAAAGCGAGATCTACCTAGCGATAAGACCACCTTTTTTATTTTGTTGAGATGGCTATTGTAAATTTTTATACAATTCTTATTCGCTGTTATCCATCTCGCGAGTAATCCTAAAGTAGGATATCTCCCGGGCATTATAATACAGCGAGAAACCTAAATTTAGCCCCCTTTCAAGAGCTTTCTGTTCGTCACAAAAGGATCCTCTACGACGTCGTTTTGTGTCGTCGTCTCTCACTCTGCGGGAACTACATCAGTCATGCATTATATGGATAATCTAAATAGAACTAGCGGGTCCTGCTACTTCTCACGCATTCAGTTACTTGAAATTTAAGCTTTCCCCTTTTTACGCGCGCCTTCCTGTTTCTCTCCTCCACCCACACACTTCCCTTACGCTTTTTGCCCCGATATATCCGTTCGTGATTCTTTCTACCGAGGGTCGAACTTCTTCTATTCACGTCGCGCGACCCCTCCTTGTCCATTAAGGCTGACCTAAGGCAAAGAGAATCCATCTCAGGTATCAGTGCTTTCTCATAATCACGCAGATGGGAAATTCGGCCATCTGTCGAGTGAGTTAATCACGAAGTGGCAAGGATAAAAAAATTAATATAAGCTGTTAAAAATCTATATTAATACTATAATCTCTCGACGATGATTCTGTGCACAATTTCGTCACATTCTTAATAATTACGCATATATCACGAAGGAGTGCTCTTAATTAACGGATAATCCGTGAGTACATTCGGAAGAAAGCTCTTCTATCACAGGACCGTTGATTGATGATGGGCGTTCCTCGTGACTTTCCTCGATGATTTTCTTTTCGAACGTTTTTCGTACGCTACTCGCATTTCCACCGTCAACTGGGAAAGAAGGTAGAACGAATGTTGCTGGGTGCAATCGACATGTTTCGACTACGTACTGGTATCGATTTTGTAGAAAAAAAGCGCGCACCGTTGCGTAGATACGTACATTGACCTGCCATCCGTACAGTGACACAAGGTTGTCCACCGGTGTGACATTGACAATGGTACGAACAGGCAGGTCTAATGAACCTCCTGCGTCGTTCTCCCCTCTTTTCCCCGTGACTTCCTGTCCCACCTATGTCATAGATCCGTATTTTGACCCGCACATTTAGCATTAAAATGACTTAGCCAGCACAGGTAAAGTCAGATGATTACGTAATACGTAATACATATGTTTGTTGCTTAAAAACTTAAAATATTGTTACATCAATGAAATTTATTCATGCATCCCGATATAAGATCAACCTAGACTGGAGAAAATCGATAATTTAAGAAAGAAGTTAAATTGGCTCGATCTCTGCGAGCTCCGGATGTAAATAACAGTATTAGAATAGTCTTGCTGGAGCTGTCACTGCTTACAAATGATTTTTGGTTTCTGATTACCGTTCCCTGTATTCAGTTTGAATAAGCTTATGTTACATGATATATACGGGTCTTGTTCATTTCGCAAGTGCCGCGCGTGCGTAAATATATGTGTTGACTCTAGCTTAGTCTACAGTTCTTCTTCTGCTCGATCCGAAACGCAATAATATTGTAGGAATATTAAAAAATTAAAATTGTTTATATGAATAATTGTTTATTCAGCATATAAAAATTTATAGATTTAATTTAGCGTTCCCGTTTGAAATCCATTGACTTCCCATTGACTTGCTTCAATATTAAGGGTACAGCGTAATCGAGAGTTCGCTAATTGGAGTTTACTTTAGCGACACGGTATCTCAGTTCCGTGCCCGCCTAGATGGAAGTCTAAGCCGTTGGACCTATTTTCCATTGTTGAGTGGAGCTGATGATCTTCGATCCCATCAACGTGTTCGATGCGATCGCGTAGGTGCTTGACCGCGTTCTTTATGCAACGGTCTTTTTTTTTTTTCATTGGGGTCCAGGGTCGCCCTCCAATTAAACATCGATATATAATTACAGACTCGCGTATAATTAGGGGCGGACTCCGCCGGTCTAAGAATACATCGATTTCTGTCACTGCGCATTAGCCGCGGGGTCACTGCACCGTTTATAAAACGTTCCGTAGATCCCGATGGCGAATTATAAATCGTCTGTAATGAGTGCGCCGCCTTTGAACCGTTACATGCTTACAGTTAATTCTCATCGTGGCTGTACGTAGCGGCGGCTACGTTGCTCTTTTTGCAAGTCGAGAGGAAGAGTTCTTTGGCGATTCGGAATAAGTACCGCATGAGAGAAACGTACCCGCACATTTTTCAAGATTCTCCATCCCGCTTTATAAAACGATCCGTAACTTTGATCAATGCAGCATTGGATGCACCATTTGCGATACGGCGTTTGTATGCGCGCCGTACCACATTTGCAGCGAGGCGAATCTATCGCGCTCCATTGTCCGACACTAACGAGACGAGCTTTAATTATTCTTACATTGTTTTGCAAAGCAAAACCGTTTACAGCCGTCCGATTGTTCCCCGACGTGCCGAGACGATTTTCTGTATTCTCTTCGTCGAATAAACGTTATTTACGCGCAAAAAGCGCGTCGCGACGCGTCGATATTTTTTCGTGTTCCACTAGCCTGATTCCGTTTCGCCCGCGAAAACCGTATCATTTATACGCGTCGAGCATTTATCTGCCTCCCCCGAACACTAAAATCTCGAAATATCGCGGACGAATCTCTTTTAGACGTAGCAATTTGAACAATCGCAGATTCTAGGTTTCTAAAAAGAACCTTTTCAAAAGGCAACAAAGCTGCAGGATATTTATTACCGGGTATATCAAACACTGGAGTCGTGATCCCATCGAAGAGGATCGCACGATGAATGAGAGCGCAGCGTCAGAATCGTAATCGCCCGCGGCGTCATTTCTTCGGCGCACTTATCGGCCGCATATCGCGGACGCGCGCTCGCGGCCCGCACACGTGCAGCGATGCGCATCCGCACACGTGTCCCGTCAACACCGACGCGCGCGCGGCTCGGCTTGCGCGCCCCGAAGCCACCCACGTTAACGCTTTGTCTCCGATTGCTAAATCGCGTGTTTGGTCTACGGACGAGAAAGGGAAACGAGAGGACTCGCGCGAACGGATTGCGGTAGGCGAGAATAGGCGAGTCGAAAAGTGATTGCGCAATTTAGCCTGGGCGGAATACCGAAATAATTAAGCGGCGAAGCGCGACGAAGACCGTCGCGAGATAGCGGACAGAACTTTGCGAGGAGACGTAAAATAATTAGTTTTTATTTTCACTTCGCGGCGACCTTAATATAACTCACCGAAGATGTGGGTCAGTTAATTGATAAAATTGTTTCTTCAAGCGCGAATGCTCTGATAGATAATTTCTCAACAAAGTCTCCGAAACGGAGTTGAGATACAGCACGACGGAATGCTCGTTAAAAGACGTTCAACTGTAATCACGAACTCTATAATTTTTATAAAGCATTTTATGGTAAAGATAACTAGTGCAACAAGTTGCGTAACGTATATTACATTAAACTCGACTGTGTCAAGAATTGATTCTTTAATTATTTAGAGAACTGCGAAGCCCAGCTCGCTATAACTAACGTTCGTTCTTTCTAATTACAGAGTCCTGGAACGTTGCACAAGGATGTCGGCGGTGCTGGTACGAAGGTCAGCGAGAAAACCATCGGTGGCGTCGGCACTGCGACCCTCACCACGCTCTCCTCCATTAATAACGCATCCAACACCGGCCGTAATAAAAACAACCCCGTATCTCACGAGGTAAGTTACAACGCCGATCGTCGGGAAGGACGAGAGCGAGAGATCCTCGGCGTATTGATCGTAGCCGGGCGATATGTCATCCCGGGCCCCGTAGATGACTTGGATAATTAACCGGTCCTGCGCTTGAATTTATTGCCCATTAATCCGCTCGCATTCGCGATCGGGCGGGCCCCCGTGCATGTGCGCGCGTGGAATCGGCCCAGCCTTTCCGCCTTGCGATATCTACAAGCCCTGCGCCTGTGTGTGCGTTCGCACAGGCACATGACATTATTCAGTGCATGACTTATTGGACGCAGCATGAAGTACCGTTTACAGTTTAGTTCTACTTCTGCTGCTGTCGCACCGGCAAGGAGAGTTGAATGGTCTACTCCGTTCGCGCACAATATAAAGGAACCTGAACGATGAAAGTGTTTGTCTCGTCTCGAAGTTTTCCCCGAAGAAATTTTCTTTTTAACGAAGATTCGCCATTTATCTGGTGATGTAAACGGAAAAAGAGCACGATGAATTGTTAATCAGCATCCGCGAGACTTTATGCCTCTTTTCGCGCCTTTGTTTAGGAACGGTGCGACGTGAAAGCGGAACAACTCGCGCGGAATAAAAAAAAAACTCGATCTCGCCGATGACGCGATCGGGAATCGTTCACACGATTCGTCTGTTATCACGAGGGCACAATGTGCACGCGCACGTAGGATTTTATTGGCCATTGTTAACGAGGAAAATTGTGCCGGCGCGGCGCGCGTCGACGCGCGCCCGCGTGCGTTTATCGGGTATCCGCATAAATTTATAGAGTAGAACTCGCTATCGGCGGCGATCGCGGCGAAACCCGCGGCGCGGCTCGTCGCGCGATTTTTGTTAACGGTTTTATCGGGGATTTACGGGACGGGAAGGGAAATTCTCTCTTGAGAGAGAGAAGTGGTCGTCGCGGACTCGCCCGCGACGCTACTCGGACGGAACTAATTGAAAATTGTTGCCGTCGGCTACCTGTTAGGTCGCGATAAATTGTGTCTCTGACGTGCGCACGCTACGACTACTCTTGTTCCATTGCCGTTTCGACGAAACCGTCACGAACTAGCTGAAACGGTATCAATTGCTCGCGCGCACAATTTCGTCGTCCTTCGGCGCGCAAAATGGCCAGGTAGAATTGCAGTGTATTGTTGTATCTGTGACGGTAGCGAAGCAATTAGAAGCCTCTTCTTCGAGCTGAAACTGATATCTTAACGAAGTTTTTAATCATTAGTTTTTAACGAGGACCAACCTGTTTAAGCGAATCAACGCTGTTAAATTTGTGGTGTGAAATTATGCTCAATTTGAGTCAATTTTCAATCATTTCTATAGATCGCCACTGCTCCTACTCTCAATATGTCGTTAATTTAACTAACAATGAAGTTAAAATACTATTTTTCTGTGTTAAAATAATAAATTTCAACACACGTGGTAATTAAAATTAAAACTAACAAAATGTTATTTAATCCAAGGTATCGGTTTTATTCTTGTTCCTGAAATAGCGTATCATGTTTCCTTTGCTGAACTTTCTTTCGTTAATTGAATTTACAAATGAATGAAATGAAGTTTTTCTTCATAAGGTATCACGTTGGTATCGTGTCAACGATATTGATATCATCGCTACCGACCGCAGTCAAGATCCGACGCGTATTAATCGCCTCGCCAAACGCTCATTAAGAATAGGTACAAAAAATTTTCTTTTCAGCCTGCTGTGGTCGACGCCACTGGTTAATTTGCTCACCCGCGAACTGTCATTACGCCTGTCGCGGCCTCGATTCCGCCGCTATATCATTTCTTGCACCTCCGTGGGACAAATCGCCACGTCACCGTCGTTTGTCTCCCTTAATGCTCGGCGCCTTTTTTTCGCGAGTTCATTACGTGACCGAGACGATCGGATTTCCTTGCGCAACTGTACGCGATCGCGCGATCCCTCATGCGCGTCGCGGTTTTCAGAAGCGGTTCGTGCATAAATATACGTATAAGCAGGAGCAACCTGTACACGGATACTTTTTTTTTACCTCGCGGATTGTTGTCACGCGGTTAATGCGCTTACGTTTGCATGCACCTCTTAGAGACGAAAAAGACGCGGTTCACCGTTACCGGCGCGTTGCACGCGATACATGTATTGCGCCGCGGTTTATCGAGCTCTCGGACTAATTCGTACGTGAATTTAGAAAGTCCGGCGCGCGAGATTTGCAGCTAATTGTTGTATCACGCTTGTGCAACTGCGACGGGCGCGAAAGCCAACGTTCGCCTCTCCGGTTACCGTCATTTTGTAAAACGAAAGCGCTCATTAGCCGGTTGACTCGAGGCGCGGATTGACGCACTCACCTGACAGAGAAATTACGTAGCTTTTACGTCTTACCTGCATTGATTCTTGTTCATCTTTTTCGATCGTTTTCTTAATCACGGTAGTCATATCGCAATTTATTGATAATGTCAAAACTATTTTCGTCCGTGTCAGTACTTTACACGAGTTCTCTGATAGATAATGATAATAATACCCGTTCAGTTGATATTGATAATAGATATTGATCGTTGGAGTCTTACAAGGATAGGTCGATTATAAATGCTCTCGTCTTTAGCAAGTTCAGGAGATAACTTCGGCATAAATGGCTCGTATAAAACAGTGCCCTTTCCGGAGAGACAAGATATGAGTCACGTCTCTTCGAGACATCGTCGAGTGGCGTGGCGTAACAAAGATAAGACCATAAATACTGGCTAATCGGAAAAATAACGGCTCGTAGGCGTACCGCTCTATAATTTTACACTGAATTTCTTTAACCTTCCATTTGAGAAATCATTTTCTGCAACTTTTACATGCTAATATACTGCAGAAGTCACACAACTAGTAATCCAATATTTTACGATGTAATCTAATTAGCGTGTACGGAATATCTTGCGCAGTAGATACTTACGTAAAGCAGCTATGATATTCGCGTTCTCGTGATAATTTATACGTAACTTGTCGGATAGGTTTACAGGCCCCGCCAAGGGACACGGAATCACAGACCGCGTGTTCGTAACGCTCGCAGCGATTCCATATATAGATCGTTCGATCGGAACATCGGGAGTTCCGGCGGCAATGCACAGTTTGGAGATAATTTATTATTAATTTGAGCTTTATTTAGATAAATTTAATTATCAACGCGCGTGTAAATGTCAATGCAATTGAATCCGAGCTATCTCATCCATGCAAATGCCTCGTGTGTGTGCTCTTTAAAATCGAAAGAGAGAGAGCAGAGGAATGCTTGGGCATACGCCCAATACATAGCGTACATACGTATGTTATGTAACCGTATGCGGTTTGCTCCGCTAATGTTTGTATATCAACGATTGTTTCGGATTCCTCGTTGACGTGCATCGGTACACCTCGCCGACACCGCCGATCGCTCTAATCACAATTGGAGGGTGTCCAATTCTGTATACAGGGATAATTCTGTTAAATCTATATCTGTGCTCATAATAATATGAACAAAAATAATAATTTCGTCGCACCGACGATTCACTCTTATATTGGTTACAGTTCATTGAGGCCGAATCATAGCTGAATATTGATGAAGTTTTTCCTCCCTGAAATAACAAAAATCAAATCCGCATTGGTCAACGATTCACCAAGAAATCTGTTTAATTTCGAGAGAGAATTTTACATGATGTATGCTTTGTATACTTTGGTTATATTTTACATTGTTTTACGCGATAATTGAATTGTTGGCAAATTTTATTTGGCCATTTTGTTTCGCTTTGTCTCGTGTGGACATCATGAATTTGCGATTTGTGCCACGGAGGTCTTTAATTTCGGGCGATCCAAAAATGGAGTTACAGCGATTTGGAACGCAATTGGCATTTCTCTTCTCTCTCTCTCTCTCTGTCTCTCTCTCTCTCTCTCTCTCTCTCTCTCTCTCTCTCTC